ACCAGGTTCTTTTTCTTCTTTTCTTCTGAGAAACCTTCTGGCTGGTGCATGTATATCTCCTCTTCTAGATCTCCGTGAAGAAACGCCGTCTTCACGTCTAACTGCTCGAGATGAAGATCTTCAATTGCTACAATACTCATCACGGTCCTGATAGTATTTAGCTTCACCACGGGAGCGAAAATATCGGTGTAGTCAATTCCTTCCTTCTGCTGGAAACCTTTGACAACCAATCGGGCTTTATATCTCCTGGAACCATCCTGCTCCTCTTTCACCCGGTACACCCATTTGTTGTGGAGTGCTTTCTTACCCGTGGGCAACTCAGCTAGTTCCCACGTCTGGTTTGATATGAGAGACTTCATCTCATCTTTCATTGCAAGCTCCCACTTGCTCGCATCTCCACACTGACAAGCTTCATCAAAGCTTTCAGGCTCCCCACCATCTGTCAACAACAGATAGTTCATGTATCTCCTGTTGGGTACAGGAGGACGAGAAGATCTTCTTAATATCGGAGCTGGTGCGTCGGGCTCCTGCGCACCATCTTGTCCAACAGGCTCTTCTTGCTGAGGACCCTCTGCATTGGGTTCTTCCGAGAGGTTACTCGGGACATCATCTGCATCTACAAATATTGACTCGCTCTCTGAGTCATCTGTCTTGTGCATGTCCTTGTACATCACCTTCTCGTTGAATATCACATTTCTGCTCCGGATCACCTTCTTGTTTTCGTTGTCCCAAATGCGGTAGCCGAACTCATCTTCACCATAGCCGATGAAAGTGCATTTCTTTGACTTGGGATCAAGCTTATTCCTGCCTTGATCACTAATATGCACGTAAGCTACACAACCGAAAACTTTTAGATGTGAGAGTTTTACCTCCTTTCCGTACCATACCTCCTCTGGTATTCTGTGCTCCAATGGAACCGATGGACCTCGGTTGATCAAGTAAGCTGCTGTGTTGATCGCTTCTGCCCAGAACTGCTTCGGTAGGCCTGACTGTACTCGAATACTTCTGGCTCTCTCTATCAACGTTCGGTTCATCCGCTCAGCTACACCATTTTGCTGAGGCGTGTCGGGAACGGTTCTCTCCATTCTGATCCCGTGCTCATAGCAGAACTTCTTGAATCTGGTGTCTTCATACTCACCGCCATTATCGGTCCTGAGCTTCTTTATTCTCAGCAATCATCTCCATGGAAGGTCGTGGTATATCCTTCGCCAGCCAACTGGCCTACGGATATTAAATTCTTTCTCAGGTCGGGAATATGCCTGACATCCTTCAGCTCCCATACTGACCCGTTCAACTTAATTTTCACTACGCCTTTGCCCACAATAGCACATGGTTGATCATCACCAAGATATACGTATCCAAGATTTCCGGGGGTATACTTCTCGAAGAATTCTTTCTGAGAGGTAGCATGGAACGACGCTCCTGAATCTAACACCCAAGATTCCTCCTTGCTCTCCAAAGAGCATATCAATGCGTCATCTCCTCCTGAGGTGGAAGTGACATTCACCTCTACCTTCGCCTCCTTCTCTTTCTGTGCACTCTTGCATTGATTCTTGTAATGCCCGGTCTTTCCACAATTCCAACACTCGATAGCCTTCGAGCTGTTGCTTGGATTCCTTGACTTGGACCTCCTGTCCTTTGATCTACCTCTAAAGTTTGATTTTTCTCGTCCGTTTCCTCTGGTTGAATTTCTACCTCTTGACTCTGTATGCAATACTGAAGAGGTTGTAGCTTCACCCGTCTCTCTCCGTCGGATCTCCTCGCTGAGAACCAAATCACGAACGTCGCCGAACTTCAACTTTTTCTTTCCCGACGAGCTACTCACAGCTGTGACTGTAGCGTTCCAACTCTCTGGTAGGGAAGACAAAAGTATCAACGCCCGAACTTCATCATCAAACTCAATCTCAACTGAACTCAATTAGTTTGTAACCGTATTAAGTTCATTGAGGTGTTGTGCTACTGACGCGCCTTCCGCCATTTTTAGATTGAATAACCGCCGCATCAAATGAACTTTGTTTGCAGCTGATGGCTTCTCATACATGTTTGAGAGTGCTGCCATAAGACCTGCCGTGGTCTTCTCCTTCGCTATGTTGAACGCAACATTGCGAGTCAACGTCAATCTGATAACTCCGAGGGCTTGTCTATCTAGAAGGTTCCACTCTTCTTCCTTCATAGAATCCGGCTTCTTCCCCGATAGTGGTTGATGCAGATTTTTCTGATACAGATAATCCTCTATCTGCATTTTCCAAAATCCAAAATCTGTTCCATCAAATTTCTCAAGTCTTATTTTTCCTTCATTTGCGGCCATGGCTCCCACTTGAATCTGACTTCCTCTAGATCGTTTCACGCTCTGATACCAGTTGTTGGGAATTTAACGTCTAAAATCCCTAATGCAACGAAAAAACGCAGAATAGAAAAAAAGTACACCAAGTTTTAACGAGGTTCGGCAACTGCCTACGTCCTCGGGAGCCACACCGATAATTTCTTATTAGTCAAACAAGAAATTATAAATCATGAGCAAATCTCTAAACTGAGATTCCTCAAATAAACACTGTAGCTACAGTGTTAATACCCACAATAAAGTCCCCTCTTCTCTTTTCTCTCTCTTCTTAAATCCCTCTCAACCACTGTTGAAGCCTAGGAATTAAATGAAAATCGCTGCTGCGATTTTAGGAGAAAGAACGCTGCTGCATTTGGGGTTTTCCGTCGCCACCAGAAGAAAATCGAAAGGGGGAAAAAAAAGCCTCGGCCACCACACAAAAAAAAACCCTAGGGCATCGGGTTTCTTTTATAGGAGAAGTTGACAGGCTGGCGACAGCCTGTCGCCCAGCCTGTCGCCAGCGGTTCGGTGCCAAAAACGCGATGGTCGCGTTCGTCGAAGGGGTTGCGTTCGTCGGGGGGTTGCGTTCGTCGAATGTTGCGTTCGTCGAAGGTCGCGTTCATCGAGGGGTTGCGTTCGTGGACTGCGGGGCTCGAGCTCGCCTGGGGGTTCGCCGTCGATTTCGCCAGCGTCATCTCCGAGCTCGTCGGAGCTCCTCGTCGCCGGCGGAGGTTGGTTTCCACCCCCAATTCCAACACTTACAGCTCTATTAATGAGGATATACACCCACTTGTTTTTTAATACTTTTAACAGGATCGAAAAGGTTCACAAAGCGGGTGTATTCACACACTTAGGCCAATACTTATAGGAGTCCATCCACAATAAATAGAACTACATCAAGTTTATTCGCAACGAACAGAACTATAATAGGCCTATTTGCAATTGGATGACACTACAAGAAGTATGTTCGCTATTAACCCTTTAATTAACAATGACTTGTTGGGAATATTAGCTGTTTAGACAATAACGAAAATCAGTTTAAGCAATTTAATAATTAACAGATAATCACGGATTAATATTGTAACGCAGATGTAAGAAATAATTCTAACAAAAAGAAATAAGGGTTAGAAATACGGCCTGATGGTCGAGGCGTGCAAGCACTGTCCCAAGAAACTAATTGCCCCCTCTCGTACAGGGCTACGCGGCAAAAGTTCCCGGAGATACAACGACCCTCGGTCAGGTGACCTCCTTCTCGTTGGCACGAGCTTCAAGAAGGCTTTGTGAATTCTTCGTGACTTTCAGGGAACCAAAAATGTAACAATAGTAATATGAAGAGAAATAGCAGAGAGGAAGAGAGAATACGTTGTGTTTTTCACACTGTGTTTTCTACCCTCGCAGCTTGCTGTTTATATAGAGTTTGAGAATGAATGTTTTTCAATACCGAATTAAATCCTCATAAAAACCTTTTTTCTGTTTTGATTCTGTTTTAATTCTCATGAATATTACCGTTTCATTTACGTTTTAATTCAGTTTTAAAGTTC